TTAGTTAGTTAGTTAGTTAAATATTTATTTATTTATTTAGTTAGTTAATTAGTTATTTAGTTATTTATTTATTACCAAGATAGAATCTGAATAAGTGAAAAAAACTGGCTCAGGATAAAGTTAATTTTAATACTATTAATACATAGTGGCGGATGTACTTCACTATTTTAGCAATATATATTTTTAAGATATGTAGCCAATTGGTTAGATGCTCCATTTGTCAAATCCCGAACTAATCTATCCTCAGATTAATGCAATTATCACACAAAATGGACTAGGCTTAGGAACACCTTTTCCCTCTGCCTATTCACAACATAATCACGATACTTAACTCTCTTTTCTCCACCTTTTCTAAATTTACCATATTCACTAATATACTGACTTTAGTGGTCCCTCATATTTTAGCTTAGCAGAAGGCTTGTCCTCATCAGCAAACCAAGGGGGTTAGGCAATGTTACTTTTGACAGCTGTACCAAAAATCTTCTTTGTGACGATGCTCTTTGGCCAATGGAATGACAAGTCTTACCAGTATGAAAGCGATCAAGTTAAGACAGTATTTTGCAAGAGACCGTCTTGGCCAAGAAATCAAACTTTTCTCTAAAAGAAGAAATAATAGAATAAAATCATAGAGTTTCTTTGGGAAAGCTTTCTATCCCCCGACTTTTATGCTAGTTTGGCCTTATCTAATAAGGTTGTTAAGGCAGGGTTAAGACACGATATCCGGTCTTAGCCCCACTGTTCCATTTTAAACTTCTACTCTTTATAAAACCAGTGTATTTTTCACTCAGGTCTAGAAAATGATTAAGAACTATAGAAAAACTATAGAAGATAAATGGGAATAAGATCAAACAAAGTCTGGAAATGTTTAAGCAAATTTCACCTTTCTAAGCGTATCATTCTCAACTTTCTGGTCGAAGATAATGTGTAAGTGATGTTTGATCACGTTAACCGCTTGCTTCAGCTGCTCGTCTACGGGCAAAGAGGTGTCAGGAAATGACTGCTTCAGAACTGCAGACACTTCAGCCTGGTTGGGCGCCAATGAGGCATGTAGGGATCCCAAACGAGAAGCCATTTTCACCACCTCAAGCTGAATATATAGGAGGATATGAAGAAAATCTTTGCTTACTCAAAAGAGAGAAAAATTTCAATATGCCCGGTTCATCAAGCAGAGGGTGAGGGAAAAGCCAAATTAGGACAATAAATTAGGGGAAACTTTGGTTGCCTATGGTAAGTTAAGAAATGATAAGGGAATTTCCCAAAGTTCTGTAAGTAGGCCTCACAAAATCCATTTGATTTCCTCTAATTGTGCCTAGAAAAAGAATTTGACATCCATTCCAGACTACAATTTTAATCTTTCCGCATCACCTCATCAATACGTCGATTTAATTGGAAACAGAGTCGTTGCTATTACACCACACACCCACGGATGCCTGCGAACTAAAGGGAAAATGCGACTTTCGAGACAAGACAAGCCTATCCCAAAGCAGTTTTAATGATGGGGTTGCCGAACCACTATCGCAGAAAAAGTAAGTAACGTCGTCGATTGTAGTTGCAAATACCACTTCGACAAACCTGCCTAAACTGTGCTTTGAAAGAAGCCTATCTTTGCTTGAATGTCAGGTTGACCCAGTGGCCAAAAGAAATTGTGGTTGTTTGAGGTAGTAGTAACGTATCGCCAATTTACGTGCACAGCCTATTTTCGAATACCGTTAGAGTTGTTGATGAGATGGATTCAGCAAAGAGGGAAGCTGCAGTTCAGCCGAAATGAGAGAAGTTTATGGAATAGTAACAATTCAAAGACGTCATAAGGCCTATTAATCAGACTGCAGGAAATTTCAACAATCAGTTCTTAAGTCACATTGAGTGAACTAGGCTGAATAAGAGCACAGATATGAATACCAAGATAGTGTAACCTTGTGTTTGGTCGCAGTCTCCTTTAGCTTTGTAGTGTTTGTTTGACCTCGTTTTAGCAACTTAATCTGAGCGTCAGGGAGACCTTGTAGAGTGTACCTAGTCCTCTGTCCTCTGTCATAGTAATCGTGAATTCCAGCATTGGACAATTGACTTGGTACATTCCAAGACGTTTTCCTGGCATCGTAGGCAGAATCTTCAGTGAGATGTGGCTTCGTTAGCTTGTCACTGTGATGAGTTGTAACTCTCTGTTAACAGTGCCGCCTCTCACTGACGATGCCGACTACAATT